ACGGGGCAGAGATCTGGGGCTCATCGGCTACGAGGGTCCACATCAAACGTAAGCTTCTCTCCATCCAAAGGCTGTCGGCCATAAACATTGCCAAAGCCTACAAGACAGCCCCTACAGAGGCCCTTCTTGTCCTCAACAACACTCTCCCTATTGACCTTAAGATCAGAGAAGCAAATATAAGATATAATTTGCACAAGTTAGCTAAAGGGGAGATAAATCTTGAGACCTTCAGCACCGCTACTTGCAAAGAGACTTACAACAATGAAATTAACCAAATTGCGATGCACGTCACCACCTACGGCCTTGACAAACACAAGGACCTGCAGTACATCCACCCAAGCTTCACCAGCATTCAAAGTTCAATACACGATCCAATAGATAAACACTCAATCAGCATTTTCACCGACGGATCGAAATCCAAGCTCGGCGTTGGCTGTGCATTCACAGTCTATAAGGGAACCCAGTGTCTCTACCAGAGGTGCAGGAAATTAGCACCTCACTGCACGATCAATCAAGCCGAGTCTCTGGCTATCCTGGAAGCCATTACCTGGATTACAAACAACCACAATACAGTGAATCAACACAACTACCAGATCTTCAGCGACAGTCGAGTCGCCATACACCAAATAGCCAAGTGCAACACAAATCTCCCTATCATAAGGGACACCATCAATAGTATCCGTGCCCTCAGGAACAGAGGCATTAACATAGACTTCCACTGGGTCAAAGGGCACTCTGGGGTTGCGGGTAATGAGAGAGCGGACCTTCTTGCCTCCAAAGCACCAACTTTAGCAACTAATATCTCCTACAATAGAATTAGCATCACCCATCTCAACAATCTGTTGCACGACATAATTCTCAAAACTTGGAAATCCAGATGGGATAATGGCAATACAGGCAGGCTCACCCACCGCTACCTCCCTTCTCCTTCGGACTGTCCTAAAAGGAATTTCAATACCACCTTCCAGCTAACACAACTGTTAACGGGGCATGGTAACTTTAATTCTTACTTGCTGAGGTTTCTAAACAAAACCGACGGCAAATGCACTTGTGACCTCAACGAAGAAGAGGACCCCGAGCACCTAATCTTCCGCTGCCCACTCTATATAACCCAACGAAAGAAACTCAGGGATGCTGTCTACAACAAAGGACAACTATGGCCGTGTGACCTTCGTACGTTTTTTAGCGACAAGGACAACATCAATGCATTCAAAAACTTTGCCACCGAAGTTAATAAACTCAATTAAGCTGTTTTCCTTGTTCGCATATGTTCACCATCTTCGAGTATTTGTATATCCCATTATCTCAGCTGTTAACAAAAAATTGTCGCGCAATTCTGGCTAAATGCCAGCCTTGTACATAGTCTTATTTTACTTATACTGTTTATTTAATATTTTTTGCTTAATGTCTTTTGTCCTCTAATAAACCGGTAATTATTGTCGCGTATATATGCTATATTGTACCACATTCACTTATTCTGCATTGTAATTGTATTTGTATCTGTATTCTGATCTAATTTAATAAATGCGATGCAAGACCTCATGGGCTTCCCTTCCCACTATCCTATCTCCCTTACTTTAATCTTCATCTACTTACCTTCTCGCTACATTCTTCCTTCCTCTTATTGTCTAAATGGCTATACCTCTGAGTCCAGCCATTTCTTTCTTAACTCTGTAACTCTGTGTTATCTAATCTTCATTTCCTTTGCTTTATTAATCTATCTACACAATGTCTGACATTTAAAAATTTTCTCTTTAGCAGAACTTTTCTAAAATATCATTTTATTCTTATATTATTAATTTATTTCTCTTCGTGTATTTTCTCTATCAATGAAGTCAATCCATTTAAACTCAAACTATCAGTTTAAACTTCAGCAATATTCAGTTTAATCGATCATAATCATTAATACATACATATTTCTTCTCATATTTTTCCATTATTGTCTACATATGACTTCATTTGCATCTATCTTTATCATTTTTTAATGCTAGCAAAAACTTTTTTAAGAAGGCAATTTTTTTTTATTTCTTTTCTAAATTTTTTCAAAATTCTTTGGTTCTATGAAGTATTTTAGAATGAAGATCTAGCATTTATAAAATAAAAAGACATGTATCTTATTTTCTGTAATATACTGTTTATGTTTGTGTAAGATACAATTCATATTTATATATTTCTCTGAATTTCTAAATACTAAAATATGAAATTTCACTAAAGCCATACTAGACTAATTTTTGTCATTGGTGCCCAAACTTTATAACTGGTGGTCCAAATTGTGCATAAGTTATACGTAAGCTGGCCACAAATATTTTGTATATTCCATATGTATCCCTAAGTGACATATCAAATATGTTCACTGGTTGTATTAACATGTGCCAAGAACTAGATTTGACCTGGGGAATAGAAATAACCTAGAACAGTGGTACACAAACTATAGCCCCAGGTCAAATCAATATTTAATTTCTCTATGTTTGAATAATCCTAATTCAGTCTTTTGTGAAGTAGAATAAAATTTTAATAAGCAATTATTTATTGTGACATCGTCAAAATGCCAAGCTGCAATTTTTAATCATATTTTTAATTTATTTAATTTAAAATATATGCTCTCCACCTCAAGTTAGTAGTGGCTGTCCCTGTACATCATACTTTCCTTTAACAATGGAGTGTTGCTGGTCTTCTATTAACTGCTTTCAAGGGAAAAGTTTTGAATTGAAATAATGTGACTTCTGGTTTGCATATATAGTTAATTGGGCCTCCTGCCCTTAAGGCAGGGATTCCCAACTTCCTAGGATTCTGCCAATAAAAATTTGAGGTTCTACAATAAAATCCATTGAGTCTAGTGATGTATGAATTTGCCAATGCAGATTTGGGATGTGAGGTGTAATTGTTCTAGACTTAAATTGAGTCCTTGTATGACAATATGAAAACTCAATTCGAGATTATATACATGCTAATGTTATTTATAGCTTTATAAACAGTGGGGACTAATTTATCAGTAATGGAACAAACCAAAATCATGATATAATGTTTTGCAAGTTAATGGAAACCAGTAAAACATATACTAAAGCTATAAAATCACTAAAACTTCATAACCTTAAAAGGAACCAACACAAATAAAAATACAACCAGTTGTGAAGTAAAGAATAATTAAAAGACACGATTTCAGAATAAGTAAAAAAATACAATTGTTAAATCATCTGTATATATATATTAAAAGCAAAATGTGCTGTCACCACCAACGGATACCGAAACCATCACCTTACAAAAAAGTGCTATAAATAGAGAATCAACTCTGCCTGGATGAAATATATATATATTAAAAGCAAAATGTGCTGTCACTGCCAACGGATACCGAAACCATCACCTTACAAAAAAGTGCTATAAATAGAGAATCAACTCTGCCTGGATGAAATATAACCAAATCAATCAAGACGGACGAGTACTTTATTCACACTTTCCGAAATATTTTGTTTCAATTGCTTTGAATTCAATTTTAACTTAAATTAAAATTAATTAATTAATAAAATCAAAATTTTAAATTTTACTTTTAGTTTCAGTTTTGGTGTAAAAAGTAGAGTTTTAGTTATCATTTTATTACATTTACTTATCCAATTGTTATATATAACAGCCGGAAAAGTAAAAAATTGCTATACTTTCCCGCTGTTTATATAAAAGAGGAAAAGTATGGTGATCGGTCAAAAAATGACCCCAAGATTTTCTCATTTTTGGACTTAGGATACCTTGAAACATTGAGAAATGCAAAAAATTCGGGGGGGGGGGATATTTTCTGTATGTTTGGATGTTAGTGTATGTGGGGGAGGCGCACGACTTTGTTCACCCTCTTTCAATCTTTATAACTCTTGTGTTTTTTGTCGAAAATTTCTGAAACTTTGCAGGGAGGTTTGTATATTAGGGGGAATAGTACTATTTAATTTTGGTGATTAAAGGTCGACGGGGTGGAGAGATAAAGGGGTGTCATAATTCGAGTATGATCGGACTTCGTGACGATTTTAGTCGTTATTAGCATTTACAATATCTTTATAACAATAGTCTCTACACTCAAAATTAAGCCTTTTTGCCAGTTTATAATAATTTAAAATATTTAAAAATTTTAAATAAAATATCATAACAGATGGCACCACACATGCGGGTTTAGCTATTGCCGGAAAAGTTAAGCAACTCGTTGATGAATTAAATACGATTTTTAGAAGAAAAANTATGATTTCTTATTTTTTGCTGGAACATATAGCAGAAAAGTAAAGTTTAACTCTACTATAATGTAAAAAAAAATATTGCCTTTAATGAAACAAAATTAATTATTTTGTTTCATTAAAGGCAATATTTTCTTCTTTTGTTTGTTTGATGGGATACAGAAACACAATGTGCAAACAATCTGCCAAAGATCGGAAGGACTTTCTACGGGGAAACTGGCACCTATTTAGTGTTAGACACGTGAAGAAGACCAGAAAACGTCACATGGCCAGCTGTTGACGAAATGCAAACCTGTGACTTATTACCAGTATTCAGTGGTTTTATCTACTTGGCCACCAACGGGCATACAAAACTAGTTGCAATTAAATAGAGTTTGGATTAGTGAAAGTATACTGTACTTATTTTTGGACAAACTTTTACTTAAAAATATTAAATTGCAACTAAAAATCATTTAGTGATATATACCATAATTCACAATATGTTATTGAGCACAAACATTTCTACAGTAATAAACTTGCTCAACATAATAATACTATATAGAGTACAGACTATATAATGTATTTCCAATAAATAAATTTCAACTAATTTCAATAATGGAAATACAGTGAGTCAAGCTCCGAACGAGGGATTTCACACCACTGAGAATATCGAAATGCAGATCTTTTGACTTTTTTGCTCCTATGGGTATGCTCTAGATTCGATAAGGTTCCAACCTTCTCATTCAGAGCTTGAATTAAGCCATAAAGATTTATAAATGGTTATAAATGTAAAAGTATCATAGATTTACTCACTTTAATATGGCTTAAAAAATTCCCTGTTGATGTTTTTGTGCCAAGAATTATCTTCTCACCTGGACAGTTGCAACATTTGGCTGATATCTTTAACCCATTACGTTCAATTACACGAAACAATTCACCATCCAATATCGCTGGTAAACTTGTTACAGAATAATCCCTATTTACTAAGACATCATCTTTATCGTTTACTGAACACAGAACATTTTTATAATCTTCCATTTTTCAGATTAACCAGTATAATTAGTATTTACATCAACGTAAACACTTATCATTGACCAGAATATATGGCACTTTTATTATATCAAACTATCGTTATTTGTAAAACGACATTCCCTTTAAATCATCGCTCGGTGCGATGTAAACAATAAACTGTTTAAATACCTGCCGTTGACAAATGTACTGTACTAGATTTTTTCGTCTCTTACTAAAACAATCACGTGATATGACGAAAGCCCGAAGAGGCTACTATTCTAAGATGGAAGTTGATCCGTATGAGTGATGATGTCGATAAATTTATATTTTATTATTATTTTTTTAATAGAAGAAATTTTTACTGTGGTTTTTTTTTAACATTTTCCATTTTGTGAGAACTCTTTTAGCAGGCCCATTATGGATTCGGCCAGGCCCACAATGAAACGGGACCCAATATATCTGGTCGAAACATTCCCCAAAAAGTTCTTGATGATTTTTCGATCTCGTTCGGATTCGAATCCGGATCCCTCAGAGCGGTAAATTACCACCTTGGACGCTCGGCTATCAGGCCTAAATTTCTACTGTGCCATCTAAAATAGCTGTGCCTAACATTTTCGATTGGCGTGCAAAATTGGGCATAATTGGCCACAAATATTTTGTATATTTTATATTAAAAAGTAGGCCTACTATTTCTGTTGTTTATGAGTGATATGTCAAATATGTTTGCGGCCGAATTAATGCGTGCTGGACGGATTTAGCCCGGAAGCCGTAGTTTGAACACTCCTGATCTAAAATACATTTCAAGACTTTTTTCGGGATTATTATAAGATTACAGTCTTTCTTTTAAGCCGTAAAACTGAATTAGCGGTATGAGAAACCCCCGTGAAGTTTTATCTATCTACCTGGAAGTTTCGCCTGTATTTTACTGATAACGAGATATACTTAATTATCAATAAATTAATTCGTATATATGACTAAATTGAGACTTAGACTTTTTCTGTCCTAAAACAATTTTCAAAAACGTTTTGTATGATTAAAATTCTTATATAAACCCATAAAGGGAAGGAAAATGAAATTTGTAGGATCCAGAATCTAGTGGATTTCAGCCGGATCCGGAGTTTCTTTCGGAGTGTTCGGAGAAAGTCCGTCGTATCTAATGGGTGGAGCCGAAGCTCTATTGGAGTCGGTCTAAGATATACCGACTGAGATTAGCTCATTTGAGCGACGAGGAGATCGAGGCCAAAATGTGGACCGAGGACATCGAGTTCGATCGAAATGAACATCATTCGGACCATTTTATGAGAGGAGCGCTTTCAAACTTGATGAAAGTGATAAGGAACGTCTTGTTCCTGCTTTGGTGGCTGTAAGAAAATTAAAGTTCATCCACTTATGGTCTTCGCAATCGTCTTTTCGAGTAAGTGCCATTTTCATAGATTGAATATGGTTTAAATTCAATTAAATTGTTTTTCACAATGATTAATCTTTAATTTTACTCTATAGCCCCCCCCACAAAGATTCAGAAGTATAGAACTGGAGACCTTTTTATTTATTTATTTATTTATTTTTTAATTCTTTCCACCCTGTGGGCACTAAGAGGGCTTCTTTTTGCATATCCATTATGGGTTCGGCCAGACCCACAATGGGGCTGCCGGGTGGTGAGGAACGGGGTTTGACAAATCCGAACGGACCACCCCCGAAAAAATCCTGGGGATTTTTCGACCCGTTCGGATTCGAGCCCGGGTCCTACAGAGCGGTAGGCTGCCACCTTGACCACTCGGCCATCCGGCCCGAACTCAGAGACCTTGGCGGTTAGAAGTAAACCAACGTGGTCCAATCTTCCAGTTCGTCAATTGTGATGAATGGAGTGCAGGTTTACCGAGTTGTGACTCTATTTACCTGACTTGACTCTGTAACGCGGACTTCACGACTTTTCCTGATTTGACAGTTTGCCTCGGATATGACCTGAAAACTCGGATGTGACAGAAGGATGATTCTCGAATGGACTTTCGTATAAGCGGGTAATCATTTCCTTCGAACTTTTGTGAATTAATCGTATTTTTTATTTTGTTTGTGATTTGATCGTTGAACAGAGTTTCGAACTCTTCAGATAACAGACTGAAATTTACATGCATGTTTATGACTTATTCTTACCTTAATCCTGTCTCGTGCCTATAGTTTAATATTAATATTTATATTCAATTAAAATTTAATCGTGTTAATTATTTGTAATTTGTATATCGAGTTAAATCGTTGGACAGAGTTTCGAACTCTTCAGAGAACAGACTGAAATTTACATGCATCTTTATGACTTATTCTTACCTTAATCCTGTCTCGTGCCTATAGTTTAATATTAATATTTATATTCAATTAAAATTTAATCGTGTTAATTATTTGTAATTTGTATATCGAGTTAAAAAACATTACAGTATATAATAAAGTTTTCAAAAAATAAATATATTATGCGTTATATAATATAATAAATGTATTACAGTATATTATAAGTTACAACGATTACAAATAACAAAGTTTAAACTTAATAACCGACGTTACAATAATATAGGCGGTAAATACATGAATCTGCCACACTGTCAGACTTGGGTTCCAGTCGAATTGAATTAAATTGATATTATAAATCCCAGTTTATAGATCATTTCCGTTCATGACTGAATGGCGACCGGTTAAGATGGCAGCCTTCCGCTCTTGGGAACCCGAAATCGAATTCGAATGGATCGCAAAACCACAAGAATTTTTCGATTGTGATTCTTCCGGCAGAGCCATGTGAAATAGTTTGTCACCCAAAGCAATCCTAATATCACCCCTGATTCAATGTTAATTACAAAATATTCTACGAATTCATTTTGGCGCTCGGGGCACATGTCCACCTTCGCTCTTTTTATTAAGACTCTGTCCTTGGCCCACCAGTGGCCAAGCAGTTCCGTTTCCCGAACGCTGGGCGTTCGGTCGTGTGTTCGCGCCTCGCCCGGACGGGCTGGTCTCGTGGAGTTTTCCGGGTCTTCTCCACGTCTGTAACGCGTGAATAGGGGCCAACAAAAAGACCTTCCGGGATGCATTTCCCTTAGGCAGATCTCTAAGTGTTGCATTGCCGCAACTTAACCAAACAATTAACAAACTGACCTCCGGATATGTCGAGTCCTGTCGCTCACCACCCGGCCGCCCCATTGTGGACTTGGAAGAACCCATATGGGGGTTGGTAAAAATGTCTCTCGTAGTGCCCACAGAGCGATGGCACTGAAGGTCGTTGAACAATGTTCTGTTGCAGAGTAACAGTTCGTAGTGTGCATGAATCCATGTGGGTATAAAAAAAGGTTTTTTAGTACTCACAGGACGAAAAGAATCAAAAATAATAAGAAAAAAGAATCATGCCGTAAATAAATGGAGTATATAAGTCAATCAGCACTAAAAGTTTGCTTGTGCGAATCAAACTCGCCCAATAATTTGGACGCGTAGAATAATTCATTTCCTTGTAATTTATAACCATCATACTTCAACGATACTGTCAGGCCATTTATTTTATTGAATCACATGGATATTTTGAATGTGCATCACGCCCATTCCTCTGAAGAAATCTATGGTGAATGTATA